CTGATGTCAATGGAAAAATATCAGTGGACTTCAGATCAGGCCATAAATGACTTAAGGAGAATTAAAGGTGATGAACATGGCTATTAGACTGTTGCTTTAAAAAAGGGTAAGGGGGGCAGGCTTTCTCTAATGCTCACTCTGTTACCGCACAAGCATTGGTAAGTTATGCTATTCATACATACTAGTTCATGCTCTCAAGGTTTAAGATTCAGATTGTAAGCTATTGTAAGCAAGGAGCCATCTTTGTGCTGTCTGTCTTAGTCCATACCTGGAGTTTCTAGGTGGTACAGTAACGTACCCACATCATCCACTATTTTAATTACTGCTACCAAAAGCCAGAGGATTGAAGGGTTTTTTTTTCCCCAAAGCATAAAATGGGCTTTTGTTTGGGATTTATTTTCGAGGCCAAAGCACACGACTCAAAGAATGTTTGCACACTCATAATGCAAGCTTGATTATACAGATTTCATGGGAAAGGATAATATAAACTGACAGTACGAAGAAGCATTTTTCTCGATGAAAAATTGAAATAGACATCTCAGATTTGTGACACAAACACAAACTCTCTGTATGAAACCATCTGGCCAGAATTAATCCCAACATGAGTAAGAGCAGTAGAAAATAATACAGAGAAAAGTAGTAATGCTTAGAACAGAGCTGGAAAGCTGTAGAACAAAATTAGCTGTTAGCCACATGCTGCTTACAAAATCAGTCATTAACCAGTATGATTTTATCTTTGACCTACCATGCAATGGTTATGGAGAAATTCACGGCTCGTGTGGGCAGATAGTTACAAATCACTCCATTCTGTGGCAGACAATTATTTTCAAATTTTAACTTTATTGTTTAAAAAAAGTTCGTAACTCTGTGTAGTACTCCAGGGTATCGGAGGTCATTAAATCAACATGAAAAACTATACCTTTGATATATAAAGGTCCTGGGAAAAGACACATGTGTTCAGACAGAGGTAATAAATATTGCTCCTGATTGTGAGGATGTAAGTTTGGATTCTATCACAGGAGTGGTTTGCAGGTTAGAGCTGTGAAAATCTAGCTTGACAGAGTAGATTTGTTTAACCTTTCCTACAGAGAAAAGTCTTCAGATTTATGGAATTTCTACCATTTTCACGTCACTATCAAGGTTGTTTGATCAAGATTGGAGTCCTATGGTCAGATGTAGAAATACTTCAGTTTAATTCCCTAGGCCCAGAATTTTTACATTGTTCTGTACTTGCCTAGAATTTCCTTCCCACCCCAGCCTGTTTCTGATATGCTTTCCTTGCTGTTGGGAGTGGTTTAAGGTCCCAACAGCATGCTGACTGGAAAGCCATCTGTGGTGAGGGAGATGGACTCTGCGTGTTTTTATGCAGCCACTTAATGTAGAAAAGAAGACTGTAGAAAAGAAGCAAGACTCCCTCTAACTCTCCATGGCCGAGGAGGGTTACTTAGTGAGGATTCTTGAAAAAAGAGAGGAAGGGATTTGAGGGGAAAGGGAAGGACTAAAACCAGGGTAAAGTGGAAAGAAAGTTATTTCTGAGCTAATATATTACATGTGCTGATGGACTTAAGGGAAGCCTTCATGAATCATATCCCAAAATTCTGTTTCCTTTTCCAAATCCACTACCAATTTTATGAAAGACACAAGATAATGATATAAAATCACTTCCTTAGCAATGGAGTTCATTCTCTCTTGATGTCCACATTCACTCTCACAGGCCTGTACACAGAAATTTGTGTGTGTGGGTGCAGGGGAGGGTGCAAGATGGGGGAGGGTTTGGTGGCTGCCCTCCTCCCATGGCCCAGCCTCACCCTCGGCCTCTCTCCTTGGTGAGGAAGGGGTAAATCAGCCCCAGGCTTCCCCAGCCAGCCAGAGCATGAGGGAGGGAAGCAGGGGTAATGTGCCACCCTGACTTCCCTAGGTCAGCCAGAATTGACCCCACGTTGGATTATGGACTGAGTGTGTGGTGGGGTGCATTTGCACCCTTCGCACCCCCCGCCTACAGGCCTGTCTCATTACCATTAATGGAGCTATGTGCCCACTCAGTCACTCACTTTTCTAATGATCATAAAAGGCAGCACAAAAGGAGTTTGAATTTGGAGGTGTGCTCAAAAGGTAACTACATTGTTATGGGCCTCAACCCAGCCATTAGTTGTGGGTGCAAATGATAGGAGTTAGCCATGGAAGGACCTGATTGTATGTGCATAATCTAGTAATTGGACAATTAAAATCCTAGCATTTGAATCTGCAGTTAGTTGGATGTACAAAATTATAAGATCAAGTGTGTGCCTGCAAAACTGGATCCAAGATGTGCATCTCTTTATTTCAGATTTATACCAATGTACCTGAGAACTGAATTTCAAACTTTACTTTCCTATTACTTGAACAAAACATGGGTCCTAGACCAAAAAAGTACTTAACATCTACTGAACTTAAGCTTTAATGGGACTGCATACTCACAGGCTTGTAGGCATATGCTTTGCTGGTCCAGAGCCATAGGAAAATAAAAAACTTTAAAAAATGCTAATTGTATGCAAATGAGGTGATTCCTGTTTTATGTAGTTGCAGGTTTCATATTCAGTCTCAAAATGCTACTTTCCTTTGGCATGCAATCATGAGTTTTTGGAAGAAGGCTGTTAAAGTTGTTGACTCTGGACTCTTAGAGGCACGAGAGAAAAGTGGCAGGAGTAAAAGCACCTATGGCAGTCCTAGCAGTAGTATATGGTTTTTATCTCCAAAAAGGATAGACCAGGGTTTCATCTGTAAAGGTCAAGGACTAACTTCAATAGTCTTTCTCTGGTGTAAAACTAACATAAGATCAGAAATAGTCTCAAAATTTTCTGATAGCTTCCAGAATGTGCCGGGAAGACAGTAGTTAAAACATACATTTGCACCCACAAGATGAGGGTGGATTTTAATTTGATGTACTCAATGGGAAAGCTTTTAAATCTACCTCTGTGGCCAAGGTAATCAAAGGTTTATGAATCAAAATGAGTTGAGATCACATAAGGTTACATGGGGCCAGATTTATAGTTCCTTCAATTATGTAGATCTTCAAATGACCTCCGAAAAGTCCAATCCTTATTCCTCTTCAGGGCATGAGATTAGATCATTAATTCACACATGTATTACTTTATTGAAAGACTTGTATCTTCAAAGCATGGAATTCTCTCCAGGTCCATGTTAGACACCCAACACAACTAAAAGCCATAAATTAAGGGACTAAGCAACAGTGGTGTAGAGAGACTTTGTGCGCTCCCATGCAGTGGTGTGAATTTTATTCTTATAGTGAAAAATGCAGTTCTTTAGAATTAACAACTTTCCTCCAAGAATCCCAAAGTAAATTCCAAGTAAAAGTTCAATAAAACTCATAACCTCCCTTTGGGAGAGGTGGTATAATCCCCATTTATCAATGGGTTAAACTGCACTTAGATCTCCAGTTTAAGCAAGTGGGAACTGAGAGTGCTGAGCAGATCTGAAAATCAAGCCCTGAGTTGGAACTTGTAACCTAGCTTTGGGGTCAGAGTGTGAAGTTTACTTAACCAATGCTTTTAAGTGTTGTAACCAGACCTTCCAATTGGGTTAGAGATATTTTATAGATGAGGCCTTACTCGAAGACACGTGGCAAGCCAGTGGCACAACCGTGAATGAGACATATCTCTGTTGTCAGAGTTCTGTGTGGCTAAGTATCTCATGTCCAGTTGCTTAAGCCCTACTCTCTATAGTTTTGCTCAATGACCTGTAGAAATCAAAGATTTAAAGCTTGTGGAAAGCAAAGGGATATCTCTGATCCAGTCAGTCAGGGGAGGAGTTTTTCTGTCTGGAAAAAATTGTTGTAAAATGATTGATTCGCATTAGCATAAGTGGTAAAGAGAAAAAAAACAGCAAGTTATACCCCAGCTTGACAAGGGTTTTTAAAATGTAACAAATGCAGATGGGAACCCAGTGAAACAAACAAAAATGGCTAAAATGAATCATTGTTGTCCTGCACATTGGTATTTAAAAAAATAAATAATCAAAAGGCTCAGATATTTCTTTCATGTGCCCACGGTATCAGCACTGATTGCCAGAAAACTACAGTTCGAAGGATCAGAGCTGATTCAGAATTGACTTTCACAGAATATCTCTCCTCCTCATGAGGTGCTTGTAGCCCAAAGGAATTGCTGATAATAGCTCTCCTCCTCATGAGGTGCTTGTAGCCCAAAGGAATTGCTGAGTCTGCTCCGTCCTAGCTCCGACTCTGGTTCCAGCACTTTGTTTGCCATTGAGTCATAGTGCATCATTGCTACCAAGTGAGGCAGCATTAAAAGCAAAACCAGACAAGTCAGTTTGAATACAAATTTTAAATTTGAGTGCCTGACTTTAAGGGGTAAGAGTCCAAGAAATCTATTCACTGTGTTGTATGTTGAAGGCCAGGCCCGGGTCTAGCTGATTTTTGTTACAAGTCTTGTCCCATTAAGATCAGGAATTCTGGGACTGGTAGTTCTCCAGGAGGATATGTACAGCTTCCTCATGCTAAACATAAGGAAATCTTAATGTTTCTCCATGGTAGTCTAGGTAAGAAGTCTGAAAGGGGCCTTGAATGGGATTGTGCCCAGATGCTGGGGAAGGAGCATGAAGAAATCAGGAGGCACGATGGGTAGGAGTCTGAGAGTGGTTGTCTGAAAGAAAGGCAAGGAAGCCAAAGTAGGAAGTGGCCAGAGGAACATTCAGGAAGATTTTTGTGTAGCAAGGACAGCAATTACCTGATCAGGGTCCCTGTGCTGGAGCTGAGGAAGGAACTGAGTGAGCTCTCTTTTAGTATCCCCAAGAGGTGGTGTGGAAAGCCTTGCAAGTCAGGGGATGAAGTGAAAGAGGAAATGTGGCCCAGAGGGACAGATGAGGCAAAATGCTGCTCACCCTTTGAGAAGGGACAAGATAGATGGATACCAAAGGAGGGCTGTGACCTAGTGTGTTTAAATTCAAAATAATAAAAGAGATGTTTTGGATTTTGTTTTATTTAGGCCTGTGGGAATTTGCTACATGAGGGGAAGATTCCTGATTTGGATAAAATGTTAAATCACCAGCACACTGACTCACCCTAGCAGCTCAGAGGACAGAAAATAAGGCAGCCAACTCATCTCCATTGGCAAAGAGGTAAGATGTTATCAGGTGCAGCGTGATGCCCAATAAAGAAAATGAATATCTTTGAGGATGTTTCGTCATAATCCTAATCAAGGAAGGATCCATCTGTACCAGGAAATCAAATCTACATTAGCGTGTCCTTTGCTGGAAATGTTATGCTTTGTTCTGAATGACATACTAGGTGCAATCCTGACCCAACTGAAGCCAATGGAGTTTTGCCATTTACTTCAGTGGGGCCAAAATTTCACCCAGGAAACATCACACAGTGCTGGACTTGTGTTTACAGAAGGGTCATGATGAAAAATATTTTAGAAGGCCTGGAAGACTCCTGTCTGTACCCAGTTGTCTCCAAATTACTTCCCAATGTGTTTTCTGCCAACAGTATAAAACACTGCTCTTCAGAAATATTTTCTATGACTCCACAACCACAGGGTTGATTCAGCGTCCTGTGAGCATTTTCAGCAGTTACTGGAGAGAAGGCAGAAAAATAAAGCTTTCCATCAGTTCGATGGCAGAATTTTAACACATTTTTTTAACAAAATGTTTAGACCCTTGGAACTTATCATGTCACATTGCATTGGAGAAGTCTTTTTTTAAAAATTTGGGTTGTGGGACTTTTATTGGTTTTATATTTACATATCACATTTTAAAAAAAGCATTATTTTACTTTGCTTTATTGGAAGGTATGGGTATTGTACTTCTAAACTAACAACTGAAACACAACTGTAAAGGAATCTATTTTAAACTGATTTACCAGTCGGGGAGGAGGGGAGGAAGGAGAGGGGGGAAGAAGGGTAATGTTGGTTTTCAGCACTCTTAATTCCATTACAGATGGGCTGTCAGGATTGAATAGAATACTTTAGTGCTTTCTAGTAGATCTTAGCTAGGGATGAGACTGTTCTGTTAGAAATGTATGCACAGTTTCAAACACACTCTTCCTCCATACCCTACCTATGTTCAGTTTTATACACAAAGAAGCATTTGTTTGTACAGTTGCAAGGCAAACAAGAAGCAAGGCGCAAAAAGATATCTGTCCTCTACAAGCAGAACAATTTGTATCTACGTAGAGAAAACAAATCCTTCTTATCATTGAAAAACAGATGAGTCTACCCAGAACAAATATTTTGGTGGCTTGTTTGTGTGGGCAAGTACAAAGTCTTGCTGACTTCAAAAAAGAAGTTCACAGTATAATTTGTGTGCTTGTATTCACCGGATTTTCTCTCCCTCTTTCCTCCCAAAATGTAGTCTGCCTTTTCTGCAATATAGTCATAATGCTCTTTCTGCTGCCTGGAGTTATCAATTGATAACAATGGACTTACACTGTGTTGTGTGTCTCTCTCTCTATATATATTATTATAATCTTTTACTTACAAGCATCATTTCACTTGGCAGAAAGATCAAAGAGATTTTTCACAGCTTGGCTTCCTTACTTAGCACGCAACAACCTTAAAACAATATTTGAAGATTAATTTTTAGGTTTACAACCTACAAATACAAAAGAAGAGAAGCTGTGTGTATGTGTGTGTGTGTGTGAAAGAGAGAGAGAGATCTGAAACTTTTGCTGGAGTTCCATGGTCGCTTGCAGCTTTAAAAAGAATCAGACCTGTAGTGGTCTGATCTCCAAGACTTGTTTCCTATTCAAGCAAGTGGTATTTGTAGTTGTCCTGATTCTGTTTGACATTTGATGCTTTGCCATCCCCTTGTTTTAATGCCACAGTTCACTTTAAGAGGTGAAGGCATATTCCATTATCATTCAAAGTTTTATTTTTTTGAATCAAGCCCTACCATATCTTGGCTCTCATCTCCATCAAATCCTTCTATAATCAGCCTCAATAAACTAAGATTGATACTCAAAATTACATGGAAGCCAACTATTGGTGGTGTGAAGGTGACATTGATTTGACTATGCAGCAACTCAATCTATTCAGAAGTCTTTAAGTAGCTTCCTACTATTTGAACTACTTATCAGTATAGACACAGTCTTAGTCTATAAGGTGCCACAGGACTCCTCACCGCTTTTGAAGATGAATAGTAACACTCAAGGTGAATTGACCAAGGAAAATAAGGAGTTGATAGCCATCTACAGCTGTATAAACTGCTATGCAAGGTTTAAGGCGCTAGGACTACTATTTATAAACTAGCCAATTAGCCCGTCATAAGACAGGATTTTCAGGTCTTTCCTCCATGTCAGTCTTCGCTCCTGAGCCTCTGGTCTCTCGCTCCATCTCTCTCTCTCTCTCTCCTCCTCCTACTGCCTCCCCCCCCCTCTCAACTCCCCTCCCCCTCCTGCCTCTCACTCAGGGGACCACGGAGCCCAAATGGCTGTTTGGGCTCTGCACTACCCATGCTGTATGGGGGGCACGGAGCCCAAATGGTCGCTTGTGCCGCTTGCTCCCACACGGCAGCCTGGCTGAGCAGTGCAGAAGTCAGCCGAGTGCCATGGCGGGAGGCGAAGGGGGGCGGGGCAGTGACGTTCACGGCCAAGGGGCAGGGCCTGGAGCTGCTGACACACCACACGTCACCACCCCGCCCCCCTTCACTTCCCACCGTGGCACTCGACTGACTTCTGCACCGCTTAGCCGGGCTTCCGCGAGGGAGCAAGCGGCGCAAGTGACCGTTTGGGCCCCACACTCCCCATGCAGCACGGGCTGCCCAGAGGGAACAGCAAGCATTTCAGGCAACAGCGCCCCCCAGAAGGAACAGCCAGCATTTCGGCGTTACAGACTCTGACACTGGGTTACTATATATATGATATAATTTACAAAATATGACTTGAAGTAGGTATGAAACAATGGAACATAGTTCATATCAGATTTCAGACTTTCTGCTATGTCATACTATATAGTGGGAGGATAAAATATCCTTATATCAGTGTGAAGCATTCTTTGGTTCCGATGATGTGCTTCCAAGAAAGTGCCCATTACTTGGTCTTACTTGCAAATAACAAAATAAGCCTGAACTGGAAATAGGAGCTCACACAAGGGATATAAATATGTAAGGATACTTGAAGTCTCTTACACAGCAACATACATAAGCAACTCAAAATATTTGATTCGTCAGGAATGGATCAAAGGGACAGACCCCCTAATATACTATAGAAGAGCTTATTGCAAATAGATTTAGGTCCCAGTCCTATCCTTTGAGACAGACTAAATACACTGATTTGAGGTGCATCTGTGCCTCAAAGGTTTACTAATGAGTGGCAATAAGTGGGCATAGAACGTAAGAATGACCACACTGGGTAAGATCAATGGTCTTTCTAGCCCAGGATCCTGTCTTCCAACTCTGACCAATGCCAGATGCGTCAGAGGGAATGAACAGAACATGTAACTGATGAGGGGTCCATCCCCTGCCATGTATGCTCAAATGGCACATGAATTCCCAAGTGATTAAGGTGTTGAATTAATGGAATTTGAGCTTGTGTAAAGGTTAGGAAATACTCTTTGTTTCTCATCCCCATTGCTAAATATCTATTCCTATTACTTTCAACATCATGACTCAAATTTTAACAAACTACACCAATGTGACAGAATGTGTGTAAATATCTCCTTGCCAACAGCATGCCAAGTGATGTGCAGGACGTATGGGACACATCAAGGTATAAACCTTTTGGAAGTCATAAGTCTATTCATTCTTTTAAATCAATTGCTTATTATGACTTAAATGCTTGCAATACAGTGGGCCAGATCCAAAGGTGTTGGAAATTAGAGTAGCTCTGTTAGCTTCAACAAAGCTATGTGAATTTGCAATAGCTGAGAGTCTTACCCAGTACCTCCATATCTGCTTATAGAAAATTGAAGCAATTCTCTGGTATCTGTGGACTGAAATGGATTGTGTATGCATTTAAAACCTGTGTGTCTCCACAATAAACATGCATTAAGTCATCATGAATATCCTTTCTTCTTCCAAACTTTAGAAAATAAATAGGAAAGCAGAATTGCATATGATGCTGTCCAGTTGTGACCTCTGGACTACTAAGCTTTTAGAGGGAACCAAACATAATTGAGTTATCATCTTTTAATGCATGAGGGGGTGCTTTGTTTATGAGCTTTTGATTCTTTAGCAAAGAGATTTGAAAGAGGAAGCAGGTGCAGCAGAGTCTCTGGATTTATACTAATGCAGTTCTTTAATGACAAGAGAGCAAAGGAAGCAGTTCAGTGTGTCATTAGCTACCATGTTGTGTTCTTCTTACAGCATAATCCTTAAGAGCCAAATTTCTTTAGTATCTTTGAGGGAGTATGAAATATTTCTAGAAGAATTCAGTAGAGCTGCATTGGAATAGGAGCAGATTTATAATTACAATATACGCTAACAGCAGCCCTCCTTTTGATAGGTCTGACCATAAATTGCATAGATTTTTGCCTACTCAGGGTTATGGTCCTAGGTCTGATCCAGAGTCGATTGATTGCAGAGGGGCTTGGATCAGCCCCTTAATGAGTCTTCTTAGGCCTTCTGGCATTAATGCTTTCTCCACGGTTGTTCAAAGTTGTGTTGATGTCATCTTTACTCTCATAGTTGCACAGTCTTAGGCTTTCATTCCTTTGTTTTGTCAATGGCAGAAGACTGAACACTTCCTCCCAGTGGGGCTGGGAGGGCAGATGGCTCAATGGTTCAGTCAGCATTAGATCTTTTCTCAGTAAAAAGAGAGAAAAATTTCAAACAGCAGCAGTGCCTACATGGAGGTATTTTCATAAGTCAAATGCTTACATGGCCAATGCCTAAACACTTGAATATCATTGACAAACTTGAGGCTCTGTACCAAAAGTAACAAAATATGTCATATGTAATAAGTAGTTTTCCATTCCATCTCACCTCTGATGTAGGTATGTCCAGCAAGGTCTACTTCCAGAAGATTGATTGCTGTGATTTTTTTTAAATGAATTGCATAGATTTGTCTCATGTAACTGTAACTGAAACACAGGCATAGTCTAGTTGTAGCTAGCCCTGCAGAATCTCACATTAGTGAGATGTAACCTGTTTTCATGCGTTTCACTGAATCAACCATCATCCTG